ACTGCTGGCTTCGTTTCAAATTTGGGCTTACTCTTAAGGTCTAGTGGCATGAATTCCTTAGCAGCAATTGCTTAAGGAAGGTCTGTTCTTGCCAACACTTCCAAAGCACACAGCTCTTTCCAAGGCTACTCAATTATTGCTTCTTGGAAGTCAAAGGAACTCTGCCTCTCCCCAACCAAGATGTAGCACAGTGGCTTTGAAAATGTAGTGTAACAGGAAACACTCAGCCTGGTACGGAGAGAAGAGTTCACTGAATGTCTGGGAGTTGCAATGCCAACATCACTCAGGGCAACAGGTGAGCTGTGCAGCTCCCCCCTGCACATGCACAGCAGACACATAGGCAGTCCATCTTTTAGAGATGAGCAGAAAGTATAGCATGACTTACTGGCTTTTCTCTATGGACCCAATTCACCTTTCCAACCCTGTCTCAAGCTACCTGCTCGCTACCCCTGATTCTCCCCATGTTCATGCTGTTCTTGGCTCTGACACGCTGTCCTCTCTATGCCACCCAGCATGTCTCCTCTACAAAGTCACCATGACTACCAGTCCAATAAAAATAATTCTCTCTAAACTATTGAACCACAAGATACTAGAATTGCTTAGCTCTCACTATCCTGTGTTAATATTTATTTATCTTTCAGTTCCTTGAATATCAGCACCTTGATAACAGGATCTATGTTTTCCTTCATCCCACACAATTCCTGGTACAATGCTCAAACAAGGCACTTAATAATTTTATTTGTAAATATACATGTACAAAATGTACAAAAATAATTCTTTCTATACAATAAATCATTTTATTTATATAATTTGTATTTTTAGTGCCCACGAGTACAATATATTGATGTAACAGCCAAGAGAAAAGACATGAGAAAAACTGACAATTTAGGCTGATAGCATTTTCCTCCTCTATAAAAAGATGCATCCAACAAAATTCTTTCCGCAAGGCCATCAACACCAGCCCAGTCATCCCCATATGTGCAAAATCCTTTGAGGCTAACAGGAAAATAAGCTAGCCTCAGTCGATGGAGAGCCTAACCATAGTTAGCAAAGTAGACAAGGAGGTGAAACCACTCAGTTTAAGTTCCAACAACATTTTTTGACAGGAAAAACTACTTACAGCTCTTATAAGGGCCTCCATGATTATCAGTATTACCAACTCCACAAATGACAGTAACATTTTCTTACTACCCTTAATTCATGGTAAATTTTAGCAAATATCAAGTGAGAGACAGAGATTACCAAGACATCAGAGCCATGGTGCACACCCACAGCCAATAACATAGGCATAAAACTGATTCTAGCTCATCTGGAAATCCAGAAGATTCCAATTTGCTTTACCATAAGCACAATCAAATAGCAGAACACCAAATGTTTCCTACAGGTGGAAACAAAGCAAATCAAGTAAATGGATCTTGTTCTTAAACAGGAACAAGGAGGAAGCACTATGTGTTTTTCTGGAATGTGATATTTTATATGCAGGAATTCCTGTAAAACTTCAAGTTCTCAAGGTAGAGAGGAAGGGGAGCCTCAACATCAGAGTTAGTACTCGGTGAAAGGCATACTGTCCATCTGCTATAGGAAATGTATTGGGAGATCTATTAAAACCCACTTTCAAATGGAGAGCTTCTAAGCCTCGTTACACAGCTATTAACAGAAAGAAACATATCCTTTGTTTATATTCTTGCCCAATAGGGTATGGGGAAGAAAATATATTGATTCAATACTAGATCCTCTTCTAGCATCAACAAAGAGCAGGGAAGCTACAACCTTTCCCAAAGACTCCTGACTACAAAGAACACACCAGCTACAACAAACTCAGAGCAAGTGTCCTGATGTGACAAGTGGGCTGAGTTCCCTCTGGTGGCTGTGAAGAACTGGGGCAAAAGAGTGCAGAAGGGCCGCTGGCCACATCAGAGTAAGTTGCTCTCAGCTGAGGAGGGGACAGAGCAGGTAGGAAACATCTAGAATTTGTGAAGATGAACTAACATTTGGACACGTGAAAAATTTTGTAACATATGAAGAGTGAACCTGACATTAGAAACAAAGGATACAAAGCCATGGTGGTCCACCTCTCCAAGAAATGGCCACACCATGAGAGGGGATGATGCTAGTAATGATGCAATTATGCAGACTATACTTTTTGTGTGTATTATTTCACTTAAATTCTCATAGCACCCTTATATGACTGAGAACTAATTCCCGTTTCATAGATAGGGAAACTAAGGGTCAAAGTGGTTTAGTCACTTCCTTGAGCTGAAACTTGAACCCAAGTCACAGCCATGGTCTCACTCTGTGTCCTTATGTCTCCTGGTTTTTGTCTTAATGCCCTATTTTAGCTACAAGGACACAACAAATGTTAGTTATATCTGAACATCAAGGACCAACAGCTTGTCAACAGGATCTTAAGATTCTTATTAGGACAAACTTTTGCAGCTGCCTGGGCAACTTTGAAACATTTATACCTGTAACTCCTTCACCTTGCTTTAAGCAAAATTAAAGCATTCACATTGTTAAAAAAATGAATGAAAAGAGTGCCTGGATGGCTCAGTTGATTAAGTTGATTACTCTTGGTTGGTTGCTCTTAATTTTGGCTCAGGTCATGGTCTCAGAGTTTGTGAGTTCAAGCCCTATGTCAGATTCCACACTAACAGCATGGAGCCTGCTTGGGATTCTCTCTCTCTCCCTCCTTCTCTGCCCCTCCTCTGCTCATGCTCTCCTTCTCTAAATAAATAAATAAACAAATAAATAAATAAATAAATAAATAAATAATAAAATGAATGAATGAATGAATGAAAAAGTTACCTGGAAATAGGCTTTCAAAAACAGAAAAGAGGGGTACCTGGGTGTCAGTCAATTAAGCATCTGACACTTGGTTTTGGCTCAGGAGATGATCTCACAGTTTATGAGCAGAGTCCCACATCCTTGGGCTCCGTTGTGACAGCACAGAGATTGCTTGGGATTCTCACTCTCCTTCTCACTCTGCCCCTCCCCTGCTTGTGCTCTCACTCTCTCTCTCTCAAAAATAATAAACTTTAAGAAAAGTACATTTTAAAAAACAGAAAAGAATGCTAACAAGAAGGGGAGAGAGGTGGGAGGAAGGGAAGGGAAAAGAAGAAGGGAAGGGAAAAGAAAGGAAGGGAAAGGGAGGAGAAGGGGGGAGTGGAGGGAAGAGGGTTCAATACAATAAGAGGACTGCAATTGAATTATCCTAAAGAGCAGGAGAAGCACCTTCAAGATACACAGAAACAGTCTGTGAAGTGCCCAAGCTTAGAGGGACAAAGGTTCGGTTGGCTTGCTTTTCACACAGAACTCTCTAAACCAGTCAAAATACCACACAGTTGTAATATTCTCTCCATAGTCTATCATGTAATATGTTTGCTGTTACTCAAGTCTAGAGAAAACAAAATAAGAAATTGCCTTTACATTGTTCTTCTCCTTCTAAGACCCCCTGGCTTGAGTCTAGTTGACCTACATCAAGTGCTTAGGACTAGCAAGATTCTAAGTGCTTTCTGTGGACCATCCCACTTAATCCTCACAATACCCATCCTCATGCCCCACTGTGCAGATAAAGTCAAAGAGCTGCCCCACTGTTAGGTGAGTGCCATGGCCAGGATCCCAACCCAAAAGTCAAACTCGGAGCAGGCAGGACAGTTCACTGTGGGGATCCCTTCCCTGTGTCCAAACAAGCTGCATTATGAAAATTACAGTACTTATGGCCACAAGGGCTACTCAATTATTGCTTCTGGTAAGTCAAAGGAACTCTGCTCTCCCCAACCAAGATGTGGCACAAGCTTTGAAAAAATCTCCACAGGAGACACAAGGACCAAATATCAGGAAAGCATTCCTCCTAACCTTAAATTGCCTTCTTAAAGTATAGAGATAGGACTCTAAGAACACTCAGTATAAGAAAATGCAAACTGACATGAAGAGAATTATTACACTACTAGACTCCCGAATTTAGCAAGCATAAATAAGAATAGGCCTTAAAACTCACTAGGCATGGCCATTTTCTGAGCTTGCCTTCAATATAAAAATACAGCAGGAATACAGAAAACCATTTCTTTTAAAAAATCTCCTCCCATTTCACATTACAGTATCAATATTTATGCAGTATGATAGCCATAATAGAAATTTTAAATCTGTAAATAAAAACAAATATAACTTCTCAAGATAATGTCAGTAAAACTGGGGAGAGAAGCTGAATTTCATAAAATGATCTCAGTAGGACCCCATGAAGAGGAGCAAACATCCCCCTTGGATGTGCTATTGCAAAGACATGCTCATCATCAACCCACTTCACTCAGCTCAAGAAAACACAGGAAAAGGTAAGGCAAATTTCCTAAGAGAAAAGTTCAGCAGTGTGTCAAAGCTGCCTTCTTACTCCTTCCTCTTCATAAAAACCATGAGATCAAAAAATGAATGAACTTCAAACTCTGATTTCACCTTTTCAAGTATAAGAAATGGCCAAAGCCTCAGCCTTGGGATGCAGACACGTAAACACCTCACTTAATTTGTTTTCTATCTAGTACCAAGCAGAAAAATACATGATCAGAACTTTTTTTCACATCCCATATAAATTTTTCTATTCTATTATTTTAATTACATGGTTAATTATGAACTCTCCACATCTTTCTTTGCTTATTTTAAATTATTTTCAAATTATTATTTTAAATTACTCTAAAACTTTTTACAAAACTGGCATGAATATTAAATCAATATATTATTTCTTACAATCCTGTTAGTGTTTCTAAGGTAAGTAGCCAAAGCCTATTCTAAAACACAATGCCACTGGCCATTTCTGAAAGTAGGATGAATTTCCCAGTTTAGACACACCATCTTTCTATCCTGAAAGAAAAAAACACTCCCTTTGTGAAAATATAAAATTTCTTTTCTTAACCAAAAATCAACATCCTTTCTATTTCCCTATGACCTCACCTCCTAATTATTTCGAAAACACATCCAATTTAATGATACCAAAGTAAGTAGGAGGGACTTACAGTTGAAGATGCCGGGAGGTGGATGCTCGGTCACCAGGAGACAATTTTCTTCATCACTGTTGTCCCCACAGTCGTTCTGTTGATTACAGACCAGTGAACCAAGATACAAGCATTTACCGCTGGTGCAGGTGAATTTGCACTCTGGAAAAGTACAATATAAAGCATAAAGTAGTCAATACAAGTAGTGAATTCAATACTTGAATTTTTTTCCCCCATTTGTGCATTTGTGCACCATGACAGTTTGGGAAATCAGTCTATCTGTAGATCCCAAGAAACTGAACTCAGAAAGGGCTATCTTGGTAAGGATCTTATGAAATACACAAGACTGTGTCCCAGGGGCACTCTGGAGCCTGCTGTACATTACTCACCCATGTCTCTAACCCACAAAATAAGTAATACAGGTGCTTTATTTCCATGACCTGCCCAGCAAAAAAAAAAAAAAAAAAAAAAAAAAAAAAAAAAAAAAAAAAGTCTGTGGCAGTTTCCCAAGCCTCCAAGGATGTGGGGACCCTGAGAAGAAGCAGCACAAGTCCAGAAGAACTTGGGAGCTCAGGCTTAACAAAAGGAGACTCAGATATTTTATTTCCAACTCATCACTGGATGTTGTGAAGCTCCGGGCAAAATATTTAACCTCTCTGGTATTCATTTATCTTGTGCCTCAGTAAAACCTATTTTAATAGCAAGCAAGGGGAGCACTGACTTTATAATATAAAGCATAGGAAAATAACGTGTGCTCTCTGCTAGCTAAGAAACATCAATGCCAAGGGCCATGTGAGTAACTTACAGAATATGATAGAGCCCAGCCCAAATCCCTATAGGCCACACTGAACATGGGATCCCTGAAATCTCTACAAATCAGTATGTGAAAATGGAATTTACTTTTACGAGACTTTAAAATAAATTTGCAAACTTAACACATTACTATCAAAGTAAGCATTTAAGAATAATGGAAATTACACAATTATATATACATGAGCACATAAACATCTATGTGTATCTTACATTGAATATCACCTTGCATTCTGACAGTGAGCTTTCTCCCAGGAGCACCCACAAAAGCTGGCAGAACTTGCACAGTATGTCCACATCACTGGGTACAAAAGAAACTTCAGGAAAAGCGTCTCAGATCACTACTGATGCTGACTATCACAGCCTCTTCATTTCTCCTCAATTTTGTCTGTCTAGAATATTGCTGGCAGGTCTGGATCAATTCCTAGGTCCTTTCAACTCTAAAATTCCATTATTCAGATGAAAGACTGGGCATCAACACACCAAGGCCTCCTCCCGTTATGCTAACAATAAACGGGGCTGCAAAGAAAATAACCCTTTTACCTGTTGCAAAGAGACAGAACTTAAATCCTCAAAATATTTCTGTGGCCCAGTATGAAAAGGATATTACAATTCTCCATTTGTTCACATTTTCCTCAAAGAGTATAGAAGACACGAGCCCACCCCCTGACCTAATTTAGAACAGCATGTGAACACAGCCCAAATGCACATCTACAAGTTCATTGCCGGCCACAGGGTCTGGGTTAAAAAATTTGTGCACAGAGTGTGATCCAAGCCATGTGGTAGGAACATTGCTGATGCCAAATGCTCTTCTCATAAGGTAGAAATATTAAAATCCAGCTGTTTGAAATCACATTTATGAAGTGACTTTTTTTTACTTAATGGAAAAAAGGGATGTCAAGAAAAGAATTTATCTTACTTTCCAAAAGAAATATTACAGTTCAGATTAATACCAAACATGAAAAGGACATTAGCCAAAAACAGGCTGATGTTGTTGAAATGGTAACTGGAATAAAGGGAATACTAACCTAAACTGAATCAAACTCCATCTAAAAGATTAACCATTGCTATGGATTGAAAGGATATCAGGTTAGACTACCACATCCCAGTTTGTGTGGAACTTTAAACCAGCAGGAACATGAAACCACACCCACACTTTACTTATTTCAACTTGTTCAAGGGAGACCCAGTCCAGAGAACAAAATGTTTTCAAGGAAATGAATTATGTGATTCATGAATTTATGTAATCAATACTTTAGCCCCTTCTCTGTTATGTGCCAGGTATTGAGACGTGGAAACACAGAAATGAAAGAGCAAGCCCTCTTCAAAGGGCTCACAACATGAATTTTTTTAACCATATGAGAAGTGACCAATATATTTGCTAACTCTTTCCAATGACATATTTTCCTTCTTTATCTCCTTCATATCTAGAGTGCTGCCCAACAAGTGAATGCAACTCAATGAATCACATGTTTGTTGAATAAATGAATGATCTAATCTGAGCCTCATAAAAACCCTGTGAAATAATTAAGTTAGATATTATTCCCATTTCATAGATGAGGAAATTAAGACTCAGAGATTAAGTGGTTTGTCCATAATTAAACTCCTAATAAATGGCAACATTCAGATGTGTGTCCAAATCCATTACCTCTGGTCGCAGGCTCTCTCCAGAACTGCCTCTCAGTTTCCAAGTGTGCTTTCACAAATGTGTAAGGTTCATTTGTAATGAGGATGTCCACATATGTAACAAGGTTCTCAAAACAGTTTCTTTTTTTTTTAATCTTTATTTATTTTTGAGAGAGAGAGAGACAAAGTGCGAGTGGGGGAGGAACAGAGAGAGAGGGAGACACAGAATCTGAAGGAGGCCCCAGGCTCTGAGCTGTCAGCACAGAGCCCAACACAGGGATTGAACTCACAAGCTATGAGCTCATGACCTGAGCCTAAGTCGGATGCTTAACCCACTGAGCCACACAGGAGCCCAAAACAGTTTTTTTTCTTAAGTAGGCTTAACATAACTCAGGATGCATTAATAAGGCTTTTGCTAGTAATGTGCTTAGAAAGTTCTTAGTTCTTAGTGCAAACATCAACAGCAATCCATAGAATTTCAAATTCATAAAATCTAAATCTCCTCAATGATGAGTCATTAGCTAAATATCAAACAAAAGGTCTTTCCATTACATGGCCATGTGAATCAAAACAACTGGAATGAAATTTTGAATCTATCGACTTCTTGATGGGATATAGAAAATCACTATAATGCTATTAAGTGTTAAAGATTAATGCTAAAGCTGGAATGAAATTGCAGAGTAAAACATCTGTCTAAGGTAACACAACTGGTGACAACAGAGGCAGGCTTTCAACTTGATCCTGACTCACCCTGCAAGGCCATCTCCACCACACTTTGCTATCCAAAATCCCAGTGTTCAGTGGTCCTCTAATAGCCAGGTTATTGTGGTATGTGAAACAAACTAAGAACCCTAGATGAGAGACTCTAACCTCAGCTGTGTACTGGAATCACCGGGGCATCTTTCAACATTTCTGATGCCTGAGTCCCAGTCTAACTGCTTTCAATGGCCCAAGGTACAGCCTGGGCAGTGGTTGTTTCTAGAGATCCTTAAAATGATTCGGATGCACAGCCAGGATGAAGAACCACTGCCTAGTGAGAATTAGGTAACTTACTTATATTAAGCCCTAATAAGCCCCCCTTTTTTAGCTAATAATATTTTATTGGAATGTTTAGTTGGTATTTGCTAATTTACTAAAAAGTATCTCTTAAAAGAGGCAGGTATTTTGATGACTCCAGGACATAAGGCCCAGTTGCTACAACTCTGTACTGCCAATAGGGTATTTCAGAAGCTTTGTGACCACAGTTGTGACCCCAAACTCCATTTTGACCCACTAACGACAGAAAATGTCCTCAATGAAGTAAAACTCAAGTGAGAGAAAGAAGATAGAAGAATAAAAAAATGTTTTCTTACTATATTTCATCCATTCTTTGTGGAACTTGAGTATTTCTGCCAAGCCAGAAGTTGAAGGATATCAAAGATTGTTTAAACACTGGAAATATTTTGGCTACCAAATTTGTGGTGATTCCAGACGTGTAATACTGAAAGAACAACAAACTACGTAACTTAGTTTTTCCTTTGGGACCTATAGATATGATTTAAAAATCTGTAATACTTCAATAATTTCTCTTCTTTAAAGTTGGGACTTTTGGGGGCGCCTGGGTGGCTCAGTCGGTTGAGCGTCCGACTTCAGCTCAGGTCATGATCTCACAGTCTGTGGGTTCGAGCCCTGCGTCCGGCTCTGTGCTGACAGCTCAGAGCCTGGAGCCTGTTTCAAATTCTGTGTCTCCCTCTTTCTCTGACCCTCCCCTGTTCATGCTCTCTCTCTGTCTCAAAAATAAATAAACGTTAAAAAAAAATTAAAAAAAAAATAAAGTTGGGACTTTTTAAATTTTTTTAACATTTATTTATTTTTGAGAGACAGAGACAGAGCGTGAGCAGGGAAGGAGCAGAGAGAGAGAGGGAGACACAGATTTGAAGCAGGCTCCAAGCTCTGAGCCGTCAGCACAAAGCCCAATGCGGGGCTCGAACTCACGTACCGTGAGATCATGACCTGAGCTGAAGTCAGACACTCAACCGACTGAATCACCCAAGCACCCCTAAAGTTGGGACTTTTTAAATGAAGAAAATGGCATCCCTTTCTGCCATAACTCTCTATTTCTTATGAAAAAAAAAAAAAAAAAAAAAAAAAAAAAAAAAAAAAAAAAAAAACAAACTCCAGAATCAGCAACAGATTTTAGATAATCACTTTATATACTCTTAGTAATAGAGAATTTCATCCAGATTTAGGGTCTTCTTTAGTTTTTCTACATTCCTACATAAAGCTTCTGATGAGCTTCTGTGACTTTAAATTGTCATAGATTCATAAAATTCTAATGTTAAGAGCGCCCTAGAGACACAGTGGTCCAACCTCTCATGTCACAGATGAGGAAATAGTCTAGAGAGAATTCCTGACTTACCCAAAGTCAAAAAATGAATTCCCTGTAATGGAACATAAAACCCAAAATTTCTATCAAATTGAAGGAAAAACTTTTTTGTCCTAAATGTCATTCCAATTATGTATAAATTAATATCAGCCAGTTGGAGTATACTATGTTAGAGAGGAAAACAGAAAAGAATTATTCTGTGAATTCCAAACTTATACACACACACAAAAAACACTGTATTAAAAAAAATGGAGGGGGGGTGCCTGGCTGGTTCAGTTGGTACAGCATGTGCCTCTTAATCTTGGGGTCATGAGTTTGAGCCCCACATTGGGCCTGGAGCCTCCTCCCAGTAGCTTAACAA